GATTTAGACTGCCGTTCTTTGTATTTTTTAGGTTTTTCGTTTTTGTTTCTTGCTTTGCTTCGCCGGCGATCATCAAAATTCTATAATTTGATTGGCTGAGGTCACGTAAATTTGCCTCCGCTTTAGACGTACCCCAAATTTGGAAAAAATTTAGGACTATCAAACGGAAGTTACCGTTACCGTTACTTTGATGAACATATCAAGATAATTACGATTCGTACATACTTCATAATCGATAAAATTTTGGAATTTAGTAAATTTAAATTTTACGGACCACCCCAAAATTTTACCCGAAATGTTGTCGGGATTCATACATGATTATAATAATACAATTTAGCAACTTGTAATCATCCTATGTATGAATCCCGAATGTGATTTGTGATTGAATCTCACGCGAGTGACACCAACATATCTAGAGTACCACTAGAGTACCGGTACTAAATGAAAATAGATGTAAAACTTTCCCTCAGACATGAAACCAATTTATTTTTGGTTTATTGCATAATATCCAAAATTTCCGGGTCGATAACGATAAAGGCATTTAGTAATAAAGCACTTTTTTTTTTATGTAGCTGACGTAAATAGAATTATGTATTAATTTTAATTTGTGAAATTAAACTCGCATGAATAAATTACTTTATTAAGAAGGTTTGTTCTAAAAATATAACATCTATTTACAGTATCAGATATACGTATATGTATTGTACAGTACGCACAATTTTTTTTTTTTTGTCCCTTATAAGTTTTTATTTATTTTACTAGTGCTAGTCTTTATTCAAAGAATATCGTTGATCACCATAAGTTTTTAAAGATGTTACTTTCATCGAAGGAGACGAAAGTCGATATAATGTTTCCAACTGAGCAAAGACGATATTCTCTAAGAACTAAATTATATGTAACGATTTTAATGATAGCATTTATAATAATATTTCCATTTTATCATAGAAATAGCTTTTATTATTTATCGGATTCTGTAGAAAATTATAAAAATATTCTTGATATTTATGATAAAAATAGTAACGATAATGACATAAATATCAATGAAAAAGAAATTATTAATACATCAAGACACTATAAATTTCTGATTTTAATTACATCCAAGATGGAAGAATATCAACATCGTAAATTGTTACGAAAAATTTTGTTCGGTATAGATGATAATCTAAAACCTTGCATTAAATATCCTTGCATTAAATATGACATGAATGTTTATTATAAATTTTTGATTCCTTCATATAACACTAGT